GCGCATCCAATTGACCATCATCACCACCACCACTATGTATCACCATTGCCACCACCGCACGACCTCTCTCAAGATATCATTTCCAGACCTAGACTAGGGGTGTGTTATGAATTTTGCGGATTCCCATTTGCCGCGACAGAACGATCAATACACAATTTTTCGAATGGGCCAAAACGTGTTGGTTGTGAAAAAGTTCGATGCGTGAGCGATAATTATGGGTTCACCAAAATTTTCTTTTCTCTTCATCAATTTTTTCCCATCAAATTATCATAAATCGCTTCTAGGTCATGCAATTTAATGATATACCGGGTAGGAAAGAATAAATATGTGTAGTATATATATATACATCGGTGTGGCCTATATCTGATAATGTGTTGTAGAACTAGGAGACCGATACACTCTGGCTAAATTCCATTGCCATTATTCATTTATAAGGTACAACCAAATACACACAAACATGCATTAAGAGAGAGAGAGAGACAAAGACATAAATACGAACACATGCGTGCTCCCTATTTATTCCCATATTTATTTCCCGCATTTGTTGCTAACATTGTCCCATTTCCCAGCGAAACAGTCTATATGCGTATGTCATAAATAATATGTGAAACGAGACATTTACAATACATACACGCAACGCGATGTTGTTGTACATAAGCGGGTTTAGTGTGTCTTGTTGTCGTGTGTGTGTGTGTTTTTTTTTCTCGGAAAGGAATGCTTTGATTCCTTCCGTTCAAAAACAGGTATTTCGGTGTGCGTGCGCCGAAATTCATATCAAATTTATGTGTATCTCCTGTTCCTAGGTGCTATCAATATCAGAGTAAACGACAATTTCATTATACACAAAACATCCAAGATCTTTATGATCACGTGCAATAGACAAATATTGTAATTTTACGCAGCGATTCCTTTTTCCATTTTCATTCAACAATCACTTTTATCTCACATCTGACAAATCCATTTTGAAAGCTAAATTAATAATTAAAACGTATTTGGTGGAACAGATGCATTTTCATTTTCGTCTTCATTCATCTGACACCTTATCAAGCAAAACAAATCGGCGGTGTTCTTGGTTCCTTTGTAAGTGTTCGTTTGAGCGCGAGAGCAAGAGCAAGAGCAAGAGCGAGAGCGAGTGAGGAAGACTGGGAGCGTGTACATCGCATTAAATTCATAAAATAATGTTGTTTAAGACACTTTCGCCATGCGTATTTTTCATCAGTCAAACGACGAAAATATGCTTTTAAAGTGGCAAGAAGGCAAGAACATTATGTTTGTATACACCATGTGCAGTGTAAAATCAAGTCTTGCCATATTTAACGTTTTTATCGTTAACAACAATAGCAGCAACAGAAGCAACAGAAGCAGCAGAAGCAACAACAAAAGTTCATACTTAAAATCCGAAGCACAACCAATATCACCGCGCGCTGTACGCTACTTCTTGAAAAATGCACTTTTCTACACTTTGCACTCTTCGTTTCGTTGCGCAAAAAGTAGCATAGATTGTTTTTTGTTCCTCTGTGCTAAGGACTTAACCCAATTTAAACATTACTGTTGCACTAGCATTTCTTTAACAATTTAATGTACTCGTATACTTTGTGTTGTATTGGCGCGGCGTGCACATACTGTGTAGCCCAAGCACAATGAGAATAATGTGCGAACATGTGAGCGCGCGAGTGAGGGCGCAAGCTGTGTACACCATACATTAAGGTGAATAATATTCTGCCGCCGTTGGCCGTCGATTGATGTTGGTTTTTGTTGGAAAATATGCGTTATCGCTATCGAAATCTGCCTGCCACAAATGAAGTACACGCCAATGATACAGTATCGCCGATATATTGGAAACTTTGTTTTTTATGGAGCGGAAAGCATTAAGCGGCTGTGTTTTGTATTCTACAAAGTATTCAATATTGCCTTTCAAATTGCCTTTATTTCACTTTCTTTCGCTATAAGCCGCTCTTGGTTTTCATTTTAGCCGCAACTACTGGATTGTGTGTTGGTTGAATACGAAGAGAAAAAAATTGTGCTACAATAACAGATACACAAACTATCCTACCCTATATTTACTTAGGGCAACTTGCTTTGTTGATCATTCTCCGTTTTCAATTTTCTTTGAAGTGAAAGTGAAACAAGAAGGAGAATAATAAGAAGCGGAGAATGGGAAAAAATAGAGAGAAGTAAATCAGGTCAAAATCACCATGAAAAAGCTCCTATCTTGTTGAAGTGATGATATTCTTAAACTAAAGACAAGTTGTTCCGATGAATTCGCCGAACGTCTACTTATGCGTATATACCAAATGATTTAGTCGAGATATTCATAATAATTAAGAATTTATTAATCTGAGAGCGCTCTACCGTAAGGAGTGGATTTTATTGAATTCTTCAAACTAATACCACTTTTCGAGGGGAAATTCTTTTCTGACACAAACTCAGCACTATAGCTGTGCTCACGATTTTTTTTTATCAAGATATCGTAATAAACTAAAAATATCGTTCGATATCGTTATTATGATGGAATCTTAATAACGCTATCAACTTTTTATCAGGTTATTAACTATATTCAAATAATAACGTTACCGGATGAATCTTAATAATATCGTTTTGAAGTTATCAAGATCGAATCCTGATAATTTATCAACATTCAATCTTAATAATCATCAAGTTCTGGAAGTGGCTTTTGGTGGATCCTCAGGATCGACCAGAACTGCTCCCAGTTCTGGAAGTGGATCTTCAGGATGGACCAGATCCGGTTTGACACTGCCCTTTTCCCATCCTGAAGATCCACTTCCAGAACTGGGAGCAGTT